GACTGCGATGCTGGCGACCGAGTACTTTTGCTTTATTATGGTGTTTTGTTGTAGCGCAATTTTACCATGAAATAATTATGCAATTGATCAAAGACAGTGAACAGTTTAATTATTGTATTTTACACATGTTTGTAGCGATTCATCGAAAGGCCTATTTTGCGCTATTGGGGACCCTCGAAAATATTCTCATTGCGCTGCACATCTTGTGCCGCCATCAAACCTAGTTGTAGTAAACAAAGAAAATTTGAATGGATATTTTGTTATTTGAAAATAAAGAAGAAAATCATTAATTTCGTGTTAGAACTGGATTCCATATAAGTATTATAGGAAAAATTTACAGACTTTATGATGGGGAAGTATTTAAAAAAAAAAAATTAGTTCCCGTAATCAAAGTAGATGTGGCTACGGTACTTTCTTGATTTCTCCATGACAACCATTCCGGTTTTGTAACATGTATAAAAGTAAATTAGTTTTCAAAACTTAATAAACAGCTCATATTATATTTGTGTTGATTGTCTCACTCATATTCTTTTTCGTATTTGTATGGATATCTAAGTTTTGAACATGGCAAATTACAGTTTTTTAATCTGTTGATTAAAAGGAACGAAAATTACTATCTTTAGTCAATTCGTTTCCTGCAAAAATCAATTTTTGTTAGGGTCGCCATCTAGTGGAGGTGTTTTTTAGTTCTTTATTTTTTTTTTAAATACTTCCTAATCCCATTAACTGATATTATTCCTATTCTAAAATATAATTTATTGCAACAATGGAATATACATATAGAATGGCATATTACTTTATCAAGAAAAAGTACATGGTACGCTGAAATCAATGGTACTCGTACAATAAGAAAAAAGCCCTGGTTCGTAAATTACACAGCAAGAAGCAGAACATTTTTCACTACCATTTCAAGACTTAGATTGGGACATGCTGGGTTTAATGCTCTCGGTTTTACTCCTCAAATTCTAATTCATGCAATAACGCTGATCAGACTCTGGATCACATTATCTTTGATTGTCCGTCGTTCAACATACAACGCCTTGCTCTAGCAGATCAACTTTTGATAAGAATCCGGAAAATGTCCCGCGCTCTACACAAGACTTTCTGAAGAAAACTGATTTTTATTTTCAGCTTTCAACCTTAAGGGTTCGGAACCACCCTCCCAACGGGAGAAGGAGGCGGTGAATCCTTCATTGGATACCACACAGCCGGCTGTGAGGTTATGTCAGACTCCTACTGACTAAACACCGCCTTGGACAGCTGGTTACATGCCCGGAGGCAACGAACCTTCGACCGGAGCGACCGCCCCCCCGCAGGGGGGGGGGAGACATCACTATTCACCTACGTGAATTGTGACATCGAGATGTTAGCCAATACAGCTGATTCCCTGAAGGGGAGCGATCAGCCAGATCGGACGGGGAAATGACCTGAAGGGTCGGCGTGTGGAGGGCGGGGAGGGGAGCATCACATACCACCAGAAGGTTGCTATTTGATGCCCGTAACAATTTGTGTGGCCTGCATCCTGAGGGGATGTCAGGTCGAGAGGGCAGAGAGGGTTGACCTGAAGGGTCAGTATGATGGGAGTGGAATTGGCCTACTGGGTCTCGTAAGGAGGTCCAGGTCGGCCAAAGGAGGGATTGTGGGAGGTTTGGGAAACCTAACATGTTATTAGTGCTTATGATAAGGCACTTAATAACGCTTCGTGTACACAGAGCGCCAGAAGGCGTTCCTGTGTGGACGAAGCGCGGCGGAGCTTAGTCGCTAGGGCGGAGATTTCATTTATGTCGATTCCACGAATCAAGTTAAGAACTAGATTTATGTCATCGGCTATAAATGAAGAAACAGGAGCGGTTTTGGGAGGAGAGACAGAAGCCTTTGGTGAGGGCTTCATCTGAGAGGATTTAGGGGTAGGAACCCATATCGGTTGTGAGGCTGATTTAGGAGCGGAGTGATTCGCCTTTGGTAAGGCGGGGAAGTTCGCCGCAGTTGGGAACTTCCCCGCCTTTAGGTGCTTTGTTGACCGCCAGGCCCTTACCCTTCTTCTTAGAAGAGGGTTTGGGCTTCGGCGCTCGTGGGCAACCTTTATAGTTGGCAGTGTGGCCGATTTGGCCACACAGTACACAGACTGGAGGGGTGAGAGTGTCTCGAGTTCGAGAGTACTCCTTTGTGGGATGTGACTCGAGGCACTTTACGCACCTCGGAGTCGCGCAACAGTTGGCCGCCACATGCCCGTAAAGCTGGCATCGGTGGCACTGTCCCGGGGTACCACGTCGGTGAGGGGGTTCTACTTTAACCCCGGTAAGGCCGCAGATCCTAAGGTCTTTAGCCTTGAAAATGTCACGAGCGTTGGGGACATTTGGAATGATGAATAGAGCCAGAGGGAAAGGCCTGCCGGTTCTACTATGCATTTTATGAACACACTCCACAGGGAATCCTTGTTCGTTTAGATCCTTATGGATCCGACCGCTGGCGAGTTCGTACGGAACATTTCTCAGAACCGCACGAACTTTACGCTCCTCTGAGAGAGCGTAGGTATGGTAACCCACCTAGTAGGGTTAGAAGTCTAGTGAGGGCTCTATAGTCCTACTAGTGGGTGTTTCCACCCGGATAGCTATACCCATGTTTTTGGCATGGGTGTAGTTTATCTTGTTTGATTCGAGACCGAAATACGGGAGGCGGAGGTTTGGGTTTACCCGGCTACGGAGCGCATTTATTATGCGGCCGCAGCAGGGTGAGGGAGGGAGTAATAATCGGTATATTCTCCCGAGTGGCTTTCTTGCCGGTATTGCCTCTGCTAAAGTTTGGGCCGAGGGAGGTTTTCTCGGCCGTATTGCTTACCGAGGACAATCCGCCCGTGCGGGGCTTTTGAGCGACGTTGTCCGAAGAAGCGTCCGCACTTGCTCTAGGGGAGCGTGGCTTACGACGCTTCTTGCGGCTTCTCACCGTATGAAATGAGTTGGTGGATTCGTCAGAATCAGACGTCCTGAGAAGGTCGTCGTCCGACAGCGAGGGGTGGGGGTCGCTGTGAAGCGGTCATCTTTATGGATATACTTTCGCACTCCATGACGGAAGTTGAGGAGGGCGGCGATGCCTGGGATTTCAACATCGCCGCGCGGAGGATGGCTTGGAAGAGGTTATCAGGTAGGATTCGTTGTAGCTCCTCGAGGGAGTATTCTTTATTGAGCAAATCGGACATGTCAGCAATGCCAACCGTTAAATGCAAGAGATAGAGAAGAGTAGTTGTATTTCACTCGCACTTCTCTCCGTCACACCTACCTTGGTAGGTTAGAGGGAGATAGGGCGAGTGTGCAAAAGACCAACCCCGCGCCGGAGCGAGGGCGAAAGGGGCCGCGGAAAAATACGGCTATCCCTTATGGAATTAGCGGCAAACCTTCACCCTTGGGACAAGGCCCAAGTGCACTGGGATCGGGTCTTCGGTGTTGCTAAAGCCTGAGGGGCCTTAGCGAGCGCACCGGGATCGCTCAGCCAGCTTTTGCCACCGTATGGTATCCGACTCAAGAAGTTGATAGTGAGTCTAGTCCTGTTTGTTTAAAAGTACTGTTATGTTTTGAGAAAAACAAAAGCAGCAGGGCCTGCGCTCGGGGTGTGCAGAAGGCACGAGTTTTACTCATAGTTTGGGTAGGAGAGAGTCGTGTACGCGCATGGGGGCGCGCAACGAAAGCTGAGAGTGGAATCTTGTGAAGAAAACTGATACATATTTAGCATTATATACAAATATATCCTCAACCATCAAAGATATTTAACTAAACACTTGGCGTTAGCCTTCATCTAAAAGAAAATTAAGAGACAATTAAAATATGACGTGGCTGTATGGACGAAAGTCTTCTGCCTATCCTGAAATGTGTAAAAAAATTAATAATAGTCATTATCAAAGTCAAAGAAAGAAAAGAACGTTTGTTTTAGGGATGGTTGATATTAGAAAAACATCGATGTTGACATCGATGTCAACGTCGTAAGCCCAACATCGATGTTCGAAAACTAAACATCTTGCAATAATTTACAAAGAAATAAAATACAGTGAAATCTATCGAAACTTATTAAGAAACAGAACAAATTATTAGATATTCCAATGTTTTTATCAACTGATTGAAGGAAAATTAATTTTGATAAGGAAGAACGTTGACATCGATGTCAACGTCGTAAGCCCAACATCGATGTTCGAAAACTAAACATCTTGCAATAATTTACAAAGAAATAAAATACAGTGAAATCTATCGAAACTTATTAAGAAACAGAACAAATTATTAGATATTCCAATGTTTTTATCAACTGATTGAAGGAAAATTAATTTTGATAAGGAAGAACCTTTTAATTTATTTCTTTATTGATAAAGAGTAGAGCCAGCCTTTGTAAACATGTATGTAAAATATGTATGTATGTATTACATAAGTAAAATTCATATCTATTACATAGAAAAAAATAGAATCTTCTTGAACCTTTACACCTTCATTGCGAAACAAAAGCAGCAAGCAGTTAGTATCGTAATCTTCTTACAGGCAACTTATTTATTTGTGTTCTCAAAATAACCTAAAAAATGGAAACAGTCGTTGAAGTACGTTATCGGTTAAATAACTTCAAAAGTACAACTTTACTGGGCAAAGAAATAGTAAGTCAAATAAATAAAAAATCATACCTGTGTTTTCGATTCCAAGGTTTAATTACTATTAATTACAAAAATAAGCAACTTAAATTCACGTATTTCAATTTCGCTACACACTTGTCTTAATGTCACAAGAAAATCACGCGAGAGATGCGAGAGAACGAGCCCAACGAGCACAAAGTAAATAATAGGGTACTAAAGAGCGCTGAAATTGACAGATTTATTTTTAACTTTCTTGGAAAATGCAGGCAAACAAAAACTATATGTTTTGGTCCTCCAGTTACGAGTGCAGCCGGTGACATCTAATGTAAAATAGTCGAACTTGATATAAGAGATCATCTAGCTAGTACATCTAGAGCATGTTAAAAGACCCTAAGGTTATATTGATATTTTATTCGTAAACATCATTGTTTGGCTAGAAAACATCGATGTGCCGATGTTATCGAAATTAATACATCGATGTTTTCAAGCTGAACATCGATTTTTATTCAATATCGATCATCCCTAGTTTGTTTTGTTTTTCTTTTTTATAATTCGTTGAATGCATTGTAGATTTTGGCGCGTTTTAAATTTATTGAAGATTAATTTGTAATTAACAAACAATGCTTTATGGAAAAGTGCATAGGCATTTTTTGCGATCTATGATTGGACGAGGCGTGATAAACTTACAAGAAGCAGCAAGCATTCTTGATTCACTGAACGGTTAGTATTTGTGATAAATTATTTTGAGCAAACTGACTATTTAATAAATTATATACTTTATTGGTTACAGAAGAGCAATTACCTTCACTTGAAGATCTTGTAAAACAAATCAATGATGAACTCCGGCCTTTCCAACAAGCCATAAAAATAACCAATGATGAATTAACTAATGAAGAAGTCATAGTTTTTCTATCCTTGGGTTATGATGATGCAACGAAATCACAAAGTGTTTTCAGTGCTAATGAGCTGGAGTATTTTAGATTATTAATAGAACAAATCATGACTGCAGAAGCAAGGCAGATTACTGGAATTAATGCAATGAATCTTGTTGGGATAATGAAAGCATCGTTTACTAAAACAGATGCACAAGTGAGTATTTCTATGATAAACGTGTTTACCTTTTTTAGTTATATTCATAAATTTCTTGTATAAGAGTTAGTATTATATACTATTTTATCACTTTATCAAGTTTATAAATCACTTGCTGACCCAGCAAACATTGTAATGCCATATAAATTTGGAATGTACTACCCTTATCACTTAGGAGTATAAAAAATAGATGACAACCTATTCTTAAACCTACGGAATATATATTGATGCTGGAAAGTAAACACATAGCAAAAACAAATTGGATATTTGTCTATATCTTTATTATTATAAATCTTTATATTTTGCTGAAAATAAGAATCTTATTTCTGTATAAATTGACAAAGGAACATCTTATTTGTTACCATGGATGTTTATAGGAATTATTTATCGGAAAAAATTAAGTTTTTCTGTTCTGAAGAATAATTTAGATTTTGCCGGTTACTATGTGTATGCTTTCCAGCCGCGATATTTTATTGAATTTGGTCAAGTAGTTTTAGTGGAGCATGCTAATAAAAATCATGATGCAAGAACTTCATAGGTATATTAGGTTAGTGTGTACAAAATGTTACAATTGCATTAATGAATTTCAAAATAAAGTTGTGAGTTGATGTTGACATTTATATTGATGGTAATGTAGCTTAATAATGGTTATTATTTTTATCACAATCCTTTAAGGCAGTCCAGTTTTACTTTCTATTGTTTTTATTATTTCCAGAAACTTCTAAACACCTGGTGTCGGATGCGATATTTAGATAAAGACCATAATAACTATGCTCTTGGAGTAAGAGCCATTCATGAATTTGAAAGTTATCTACGCCAGAATATGCCTGACACAATTGAAGAATGTTGCCTTTGTAAACAAATAGTTTTCAGAGTATGAATAATATTTTTCTTATTATATAATAAATGCTTTTCAGCTAATTGATGTTTTTGGTACCTAATTAATATACAGTAAAATTACATTGTTCAATTTTAAGGGCACCACTAACAACAAATATAACAATCTTTTCTTGAATTGACTTACTTATATTGAGTAACTGGGTGTTACTGATAATAAGTGTATTATCTTAATGTTTCAGGGTTGTAATTGTCCATCCTGTGCGCTAGCCATTCACACAAGGTGTCTGAACAAGTATTTGGAAAAAGTGGACAAATGGCCGTGCTGCAAAGCTGACTTTCATGCATCACAACTGGAAAGATTACACAATGGTGAAAGGTAAGTCAAAGTTAAAATTAAACACAATAAAAAGGGGGTTAGAATAGCAGCCACATGTAGTCAACAGAAACATTATTGGAAGAAATAGATACAACTTCATGTTTCTGAGGTATATGACATAAAAGTTTCCCGCTGAAACTGTCTGTGAAGAAAACTTATTTTATTTCCATATAGGATTAAATTTATAATGTATATTGATGATGCTACCAACTTTCCACTTCAATGAGGCTTAAGACTTCTTAGTATGAAATAAAACAGGGAGAAAAAAGCAACCTTTGCTTAGTTTCCTGCTGGATCTTCTTAGTACAAAGTCTCCAACCGTAGATATCAAAACCGATGGCATAGTTTTCGACTTTCACAAGTGCTTGTAACAGCCTAGACTGAATAAATGATATTAAATTTGAATAACTTTTTCGTATTGTCATTTTTGAGGTCCAGAATTGATTTCTGGCTGTGTTGCCTCATATAAGACGTTTTCTATGTAGTTTTGCCTAGGTGTTTGATACCTTTATTGTTTCTGGTGTACACAGGGCTGCACGTCAGACAATACATTGAGGATTTTGTACAGACTGCTCTTTGTATAGAACTTTCCTACTAACAGAGGTCTACTTATGATTGTGTGTAGTGTGAAGTGCGGCCGTGCGCATCTAAAATGTGTCTTATTTAACTACTTAGCTTGAACAATGTAATATTTACCTGGTTTCTGAATTGAGAATTTAAAGTTAAACACATCCCAAACAGTACTTGTTTAAGTGATATTTGAAATGGCTTTCAAACATCATTTAAACAGGTTTTCGTTTTTATTTTAATTTTTTTAATAATCAGTTGATAATAGTTTTATAAACCTAGGACTTTTTGTTATGTAAAAAGGCGAAAAACTTAAGTTATTGGGAATAATCAGTTGAGATGTTATACTGACTGATTATCTAATATTTTTATAGTTTATATTATATATTAGTGATGGAACAAACTGGAATTATTATGAATATATCATATTCATCATGTGTAATTCACACATATTAAAAATTAACAACATACTTTATTCATTAAAGGATTATAACTGTGACAGATTTTGAAGGCATGTAGAGCCTTTTAAACGTGCTAATATGTGTCCATCATACTTAATGTCCCTTGGTTCCTCATTAGTATCATGTGGTAGGGAAACCGCGGCCCACGTAGAATATTCTCAAAATCTCACAAAAATTCATTGATTTAAAATTATGCACACATATTGAAATTAGTGACCTAAAGTCGGAGTCGGAGTCGCGCACGAGGGTTTCCGTACTAAAAACGAGCAAAAAATCACGTTTGTCGTATGGGAGTCCATCACCACCAGCCCTTTTACGTCCCCACTGCAGGGGCTCAGGCCTTCCTTATGGATGGTTAATGAGAATAGGTCACGACCCTCCACGCTGGCCCAATGCGGATTGGAGGGTATTAACGACTGCAAATGCAGCCGGGACCAACGGCTTAACGTGCCTTCCGAAGCACGGAGTAGCTCGAGATAATAATTTTTTGGTCACCCATCCCGTGACCGACCCTTGCGAAAGTTGCTTAACGATTACGATGGCGGGCCGCGGCGCTTATCCACTACGCCACCGAGCTACTCTCATATGGGAGTATAATAATAAATATTTGTTTAATTTTAATTTAATTATTTATTTTTAAAGTTACTATATTAGTACATATTCTGTAAATAAGCGTCTACCTGTTCTCGTTATCAATATCGAGCAAAAAAATCACCTTTATTGTATGTGAGCTCCTTAAAAATTTATTTTATTCTGGTTAGTATATGTTGTTGAAGAGGCAACAGAAATACACATTAAATGAAAGTGATTATTGTGAGAATCAATAAATAGTTTTGTATTTATTGAAGAAATTTCGTCACCTCCATACAAAACCACAACTCTGTATTGATATTTAAATTAAAATTGATGGCACACTTACTGGAATTACAAAAAAAATAATTTAACTTTAATTAAATAATAGTAATTTACTACCTTCTGACATTATTAATTACAATCTGACATAACATTAAAACCATCAAAAATATTCATTCAAATTTGAAATCATATTACCATATTTACTTTTTGACATTATTATAACATTGACCACATTTCTTTCTGATATGCCTCTCATCTATATAGATCTATATAGAATGAGTACCTAAAGTCGGAGTAGGCATCTATATAGATGAGAGGCATGTCAGAAAGAAATGTGGTCAATGTTATAATAATGTAATGTGATTATTTTGTTTGTTCGTTCGATTTACACTCCTTTTCTTTGATTTTGACCCTGCTCGTCTCAGTTGGGGTGATGGCTGTAAATCAGTGCTTCACGGACATATCGGCGATTTTAATGCACTGAACCTAGACCCTTTCTCTCTGCTACATACAGATACATGACTTATTTGTTGTTAATAATTTTTTGTTATGTCTATATATTTTTTATTCTCTGTATAATGTTGTTGTTTGTTGCATTTTGAATAAATGAATTATCTATCTATCTCTCTATCTAACTAAAATTTTGAGAAAATTAAATCTTTGTGCGGAACCCTCTGCTCACGATTACGTCTGAGTCGGTTTTTATTTTATTCTATTCGTTTTGTGATTTATCGCGTACAAGGTTTTGATTCGATTAATTCCAACTATGAAACTATTAAGATTTTCCATTGTATTATTGAATACATTTGATTCTATTCGATGTCAATCAAATCCAAGCCAAACGAGGTACGTGGTCGGGAGCTAATGTTGTCTATAAATGTTTATCATTATAGACTGTAGTACATTTTCATCCTCTTTGCTCAAAGAAAATCTGAGCTTTCACATAGGTACCACTACCTATAGTTTACGTGTATCTGTAGATATTGTACAGAAGTACTCATTATTATCAAGCCCATTAATGTTCCTATTGATAGTATATAGGTCTTCCCTATGGATGGAATCGAATCGGAATGGAAAAACAACTGCAGATGCCGCGGGGAACAACCGCAATCGCCTTAAGGTGGCAGAATGCCATGTTTCCTGTTAGTACTATATTAAAGTGACCAACCTTTATTATCAGTTCCAGGTTATCACAAACCCAGCGGTTAGAGAATTCTAATGAGAGTGAAGAAAATACAGAAGTCGATCAGACACAGGAGTCTACAGAAGATATACAAACTACACAAGATATTATTCCGGAGATATCTCAACGTGTCACAAGGAAGAGGAAGCGCACGTAATAGTGAAAGTGGTATTATTTGTTATTATTATAGTAGCTAGTGGTAGTACTGTTTTATTAACTGTTGTTTATCAGTGCTTAAAGGTTTTTTCACTTTTATAAAGTCGTTATTCGAATCTGTCATATTTCTTTATTTAATTAAAAACACAGTTGAATTTATTATATTTTATTCTTATTGTTATTACAAGGAAATCTACAGCAGTAATTCGTACTAGAAACTTCTTAAAGAAATTTGATTACTGTAGCAATATTTCTTTAATAGGAACTGCAAACATTATATATCATCTATATTACTTTAATAGGAGCTACATAGGTATACATAATATAGTATCTAAATAGCTAAATAAACATTTTCGACTTTTCTTCTCACAATTTTGGCAGATCTTGGATAAAAATCAAGTAAATACTTCCATTGGTCTAACTTTAAATACACAATGTCTACAACTGTTCGCGCTCTAAAGGAGAAATGATGGGACACTCCAATGAATAATCCCTGAAAACATTTTTTTAAAGCACTTTACGAATTTTATTTGTCAAGGATAAACATTTTAGTGTCAATTTGGGTGGAACGTCCCTGTTTCATTCTTTTTAATAGACCATACATGTCACTAGAAGTTGATTTCAAGATGATTTCATTTTACGAATGTCTAGTGTCTTTGAAATGATAAGTTACTTAATATTACGTAACCAAAGTTTTAGTTTTAGTTTGAATCCAATAGAGAACAGAGTTTTTATTAATTTATTTCAATGCGTCTTGCAAAATAATCTGTACAAGCTTGTTTCCACACGTCATGTCACTCGCGTATGATGTAGCTTGCCATAGGTGATAGAATTTTTTTAAATCGGTGTAGTAGTTTGGAGCGTAAACAAACAAATTTTCCCTCTTTATAATAGTTAATATAGATTTAATCTAAGAAATCAGTGAATCAGTGTGGGAATAGATATATCCATTAAAGCATGATATGTTTTAATAGATATACAGCCAGTTGCACAAACGTGAAATTAAATTTTTCATTAGTTTAAAGCAACATTACCTATACAAGTTTGACATTCATTAGAGCTCAAAGGCGTCATTAAACCTTAATGAACGTTTGTGCAACTGACCGATAGTTACACATAGTTATGTATATTGTTATGTTGCATAAATTGTTTTATCTTGTTCCAACCTTTGCAGCTAATTGTTTTTCACGCAGGCTGATGATAGAATAACCTACAACAACCCTACGTGTTTAGGCTATTATCGCTCGTCCGGGGTTCGATTTAGTTTGCTTTTTTTGGCTTGACTATATTGAAATCGTTACTTTTATAGCTAAATATACAGATACCAGCGACTTCTTGGAATTTCCTGTTAGGCTAAAATATCTTTTTTGTGTGTCAATTTAGTTTATACTTCATATGAGTGATTGAGTACTTAATTGAACAAGAAAAAAGGTTTGATCAAATTTATACGTCAGTGTAACCGTTTGCACTTATGTAAAACCTTTACCTGGGCTACTCCGAAACTGTCTTCAGGACCCAATATGTCATAAATAGATTCTGTTAAGTTTGCATGGACGGTTAATACTTCCACCTGAAAACATTACAAACAGTATTTTTTTTTTTCATTTAAATCATTAATTTCGATGGTAACTGTGACTAGCGCGCTCGGTCTGTGATGCGGGTATGAAGCAACTTTTGCTTGCAGCCGGTGATAGGAAGTGACAAAAAAAAAATTTCGTGCTCCTCTGTGCTTCCCATGGCACGTTAAGCCATTGGTCCTGGCTGCATCTGCGGTCGTTAACACCCACCAATCCGCACTGGGCCTGCGTGGTGGGGTCAGGGTTTATTCTTCCTATTCCATACATGATTCGTTTGCATCCGTGGGAAAGGTCTGAGCCACAGCAGTGGGGAGATTAAAAGGCTGGTGATATTCTTGTAAATTAATGCCATGTGTCTGACTCTGTGCGCCCAATAATAAATTTTCGAAATGTATAATAAAAAGGCAAATATCACATAATAAGCACTTCTTGCAATGAGTAAGTATTAAAAAAAAACATAATTTCCCGAAATCAAACTAGATGTCGCTACTGTACGTTCTTGAGTTCTCCATGACAACCATTCCGGTTTTCTTTCAAGTTTAAAAGTAAATTAGTTATCAAAACTCAATAAACAACTCATATTCTATTTGTAGTAACGGACTAAAAGGAACGGATATGACTGTCTCTGGTCCATTCGTTTCCTGCAAAAATCAATTTTTGCTAGAGTCGCCATCTAGTGAGGTGCTTTTTAGTACTTTTTTTTTAAATACTTCCTCATTGGTTCAAAATTGTATGAAAATAGTGATTCGCACAATCTTTGCCCCTAGACGAGATATCTTCTCTTAAAGACTTTTGGGGGGCGCTTCCAAAACATGATTTATTCGTATCACACAATAATTTTGTTTATACCGACCTCTCCTCTATGTATAAAGTAAATACATTGATCAGAATCTCCACATTGTACAATATAATTTCCGGGGAAAAACACGCAGTGCTTCATCCACATCGCTAGCATTCTCTTAAAGTCGTCATCGGCTTTGCTGAATATAATTGACTCTCTGATATGCGAGCCATATACCGCTTGCATTACTTGACAGCGTAGTCGAAACGGCAATGTGTAGATTAAATTAGGCATCTAGAAAGAAATTTTAGCTGTGCAGTTTTGTTTTCATATTCATTACATTGGGAACATAAGTAGGCATACTTTCAGCTTTCCGCCAGCGGCTTCGTCCGCGTGGCCCCTAAGGAACTGTTTCAATTTCTGCCTTCATAATATAAGTAAGATTATTTATTCCTAGGTAAACAGCTTTAATAAATGATTAATAAATGATTTAGATATCTATTCATTCCACGGATATAATTACTATGACAAATTAAATAGTTAACAATGGTAACGTTCTAATTCCCTTTTCGTCCCTAGTCCTTCCATTTTCGTCCTTTTATTTGTAGCCTATGTTTACCGCATATGATGTAGTAGTAGGTGAAGAAGAATATGTTTTTTTATCGGTCCATTAGTTTGGAGTCTAAACAATCAAATCTTTCCTTTGTAATATTTTTATAGATAAGTATTACAACTAGTATAGTAGGTATTATAATATCTGTACGTATTACGAACTGTGGGAAACTAGTGCAAACGATACTTGCTTTACAGCTTAACGTCCATTAAAATGATCATTAGTTTAAAAGACATTACCCATACAAATTTGAGATTCATTAGAGCTTAAAAGCGTCATTAAACCCTAATGGCCGTTTGTGCAACTGACCGTAAAGTTAGTAGCACTAACTTCTTCGATAATTCAGCGTAAAATTTAAAACAGTTTATAATCTTTCTAGATTTATTATTATCCAATGTAATGTAAAGTTCAATCTAATACTAATGTAATGTAAAGTACATAGGTATGGCAGGTACTTAGATTGTATAGCTCGGATAGGTGTATTAACCCACGATGACAATGGTCGGATATGATTTGAAATACATAATCGTAATATTCCTAATCAATTATAATATTTAATTAATTTAGCATTCACAATGCTATATTGGAAAATATTCTCAATGAAAAATACAAAAAAAAACCACCAGCCCCAGATACTCGGAGATGGGACGGAAGCATTTTTCATTAGGGAATACTCATAATCAAGTTTAAACAAAGTATAATGACGTAGCAAAGTCACCAGAAATAAGAACTTTCTTTTTCTTTGAGGTAAGAAAGTTTATTAGAATCACTTTAGTTTCAAATGGCTACGTAGTTGTAAGGATTGATGAAATTAAATGTTCTATTGTCTATTCAAATAAGCATATTGAAATCACTTTTGAATCGTCTAATATTTTTACCTATCACATATTCATTTTTTTTTTTTAATTTTGACTGACAAGAAGAAAGGGCTTAAGATGTATAACGCGTTACAGTAAAAACCACATTTACATGAAACGTGTCAATACCAAATCAATCTGTTTTACAATGAAAAAAAAAAGATAATTCATTCATTAAACAATTGTTACACATCGTACGTCGCACTTGAAAAATGTTTCGAGTGATGATTCATTTATTGTTAGATGATCAGGGCCCGATCCAGTGCAGTAGTCACTCCGGACAAAAATAATATTCACCGACGATCAGCGTAAGTTCACTTGTAACCCACTTTTGGTTATTTATTGCTCCCCCCCCCCCTTTTATGACAATCAATAGATACCAAAAAAGTAACTGATTTTTATTTCATTTTGTTATTTGAAATAATTCGAATTCAAAATTGCTTTCTAGTTTTTTTATTTGAGTTGAATTTATTAGCATTTTTCTCTATATATTTATTACAATTAATGACAAGCTAGCAACTTAATCCACTCTTGCCGAATCACTTCATTGATAATTCTTACATCTACACCACGTTAATGTTTTATAGTCTTCCTTAGAGATGTTAAAGTTATTAATATGTGCGGTCACGTACCTACTGAATTATGCAACTATTGACTGCTCGTCAATAAAATATGACTCCAATGTAATACATAATATAATACTCAAGTTTCAATTTAGGTCGCGAAGTAGTTATTCTAACACAACCTTTCGAAATATGTAGATATTTACAATAGTTTATTAATGGCAGACGCGCGAATGAAGTCTACAGTTTCCCCATTCGATCTAAGCCAAACTCTTTCAATGCAATGTGAAATTCCATTTCTAATATCTGCCAGCATTTTGAGTACACGTCGCTCTCTAAATCTTAAATTCGTTCTACCTTTTTTCTACCAAAACCAAATTAAATCTAGCTACAGAAATCCTGCATTAAAATTTTATTGATGATACACGTTATTGATCGAAAGACGATTTAAATTACGTTGCACAAACGTCCTTTAAAAAAGCGAATTTGACATTTGTTAGAGCTTGAAGGCGTCTTTAAAACGTAATAAACGTTTGCGCAACTGACCGTCACAATCTGAACTATTGTAGCAGGTTCCATACGGAACTATGCAGCGCGCTTCGTTTCGCGCAGCAAAAGCGACATCAAACAGTCGTACATTAGTTTACGTAATTAAAATATTGTAATGAGTTACCAAACATACAACCCAAATCAATGTCCTCAACAAATACTTAAATAACTTAGTATCCAAATTATTAGAAATTATATCCACAATCCAAATACATATTGTGTAGGCCTATTCGCTCTCTCAGCTGACAGCTTAAAGTCGCAATCACCGTAAAAAGTGAAAAATACCAATGTGTCATAATTACTTAATCGTATGACCGAACGCTTACAGAGCAATGTGGACAACTTATTTCGGTTGTCCTCAAATTTGCAAAATAAGAGGACTGGATCGCGGGTCGTTGTTCGCTGCTCCGGATGGATCGTTGGATTGCTGATTCGGATCGGACGGATCGTTGGATCGCTGATTCGGATCGGACGGATCGTTGGATCGTTGATTCGGATCGGACGGATCGTTGGATCGCTGATTCGGATCGGACGGATTGGTTGATGTTGACGCAGCTATTTATTTATTTAATCTTAATTGCCTAGTATATACACAGACTAATGCCGGACTTAATTTCAGAGAACCATTCTTTACCAGTCAACCAGTAAACTTAGTAAAGAACTTTAAAAGCGGCGATATATATAACGTACGTTAAAATGTACGTTACATAAGAACTATATCAATATATATATATCTACACATACATAAAAAACGAATATATATATAAACATAACACATTAAGTACGAAACAGAGTTAACAAAGAAATTATGTTTGAAGCATGGTAAAAGTTGCGAGCTGCTTGAATACAAATTTGTTAGGAGCACTTCCGACGTTCAAAGCCAGTGCATTCCAAAGACGGATGGCAGTTAGAGTGAATGAGATACAAATCTAACCTGTCGTCCTTGCTGTCTGTTCCATAATTCGCGAACGTAGTCCCACATTTTGTTCATCTGATGGTCACTCAAGTCCATATCTCGAAGGCCATCCCTCAATTCGTTGATACCGTAATCATAGGCAATACGTGATGATGAGTGTGCCGTGATCATCGCTGACATCTCTGATATTAACAGTCCTGCAAACAATTTGATATTCCAACCGAAAAAAGCTAAAAGTTTATCATTTGAATTAAAACAAAAACAATTTAAATCTGTTGTAGCATAGCATCAAAATAATTAATCTTATGTGGAAAAGTCTAACGCCTACATATTTAGTGACAGCAACAGATCACTGCCACTAATGACTAAATACTTTATATTTTACATTCACCATAACCACATCAAGATTGTGAATCAATAAATTCCTATATCAAGACAACTGAATTTATTTTCCGGAAAAAATCTTTTGCGCCAAGAAGGCGCAAACATTTTGTATGGATTGAAACTCACATCAAAATCGTGATATTGCAGACATCATTCTAAATGCGATAGACGATTGAAACATTCAGAATCTCCAAAAAAACCTCGCAATTCGATTTTGATTACCCATTTGTCCATCGACATTTGCGAACATGTTTAACCACCGCATTAACTTCTTCAAACAAACATGTCAAGATACATACCAGTACAAAATTTTATGATAATGGTTACAATGATAGTTTCTATGATTTCAAAGTCGTTCTGCGATGTAACATCTCCACTGCCAGTGATAGTTAGTAAATTGATCATATACCACAAGCCTGCTACGTAAATGGAAAAATAGTCAGCCTACAAAGAAAAAGACTAAATAAAAAATTTGTTCACGACCACATGTCACATTGTCAGATTTTCCCATTCCATTTTAAAATTAACTCGAGAATTTAAGGTTGCAATCAATAATTTAAGGCGCGAAAATAATCAATTGGAGAAATTTGTCCGTGCTTGTTGATATCATTTAGGTCCACGGTGGGCAACAGCTGGTCCGCGGGCCGGATCCAGTCCGCGAGACATTTTGAAACGCCTGAAGTTATGATTTATAATAACATTGTCGTATTATTTCATGTCTCATATCTATCGCAAAAAATATGAGCACTACAAACTACTTTAAAATGTTCTACTTCTAAACGCAATCCGCGAACGTATTTGGACACTAAAGTTTGGCCCACAACATGTCCAAGGTTGCCCATACATGATTTAGGTATTAGTCTATCAACATTAAATGCAAACAATGAATATCTGTTTGTTAAAAAAAAAAGATATCGCATTACATTTGCTGCAATAGACAGAGAATAGGTTGGCAGTTTTAAATGTTATAAAAATGTTACAGAAACAACAGATATAATGTTAGCTGCTAAGTGCTTTTAGAATGTCAGTAGAAGTTATAATTAAGAAGAACTGAGCTTTTAGGCTTTGGCGCTAGTTAACGTTAAGATTAATGCGCTTCAACTTCTCTATTGCTGACCTTAGATTTTCTTGTTTTAAGAGTATAAAACTGCCATATGTTACTTACATCCATATATTTAGCCTTTAAATTGAGTTCTTCTTTTGACATCCAATTTGAGGAAGTGCAGTGTTCTGGGGTAAGGCAGGACAACTTGAAGAACAAGCAGGCGTTTATATGCGAAAGTACGGAAGCCCATATACCAATAGATCTGTTATAGAAAAACAATATGTAATAAAACTAGGTATCAATATCTAATTCTATGTGATGTACAATTGCTAGAATTCAGTTAGGACAGTTCATGCATGTGGCCGCTGTTATTAACATTCAATTCATATTTTAACAATATTAAGATTAAATTTTAAATGTGCTTTATCTGAAATAGCTCGCTGGTGATCTGCTGGCCACTGCCGTTTCGATGCGATTTAATCTCGAAAAAATAAATTCGTTCAAAATTTATTTTAAGAGTTCAATATTGAAAGCAATCCTTTTGCACAAACTAGATTTTTAGACTAATTTTAGGAGTATAATTATATTTGTTACTTTAAAACAAACTTAAAATTTGTTATTTTAAGTTCAATTTAGTTGTACAACAGAATTGGCATCATTGCAAATGTTTATTGGTTTCAGAAATACTTACGTCAACTTAAATATCAGATTCGCTGAACCGATATTGTTGTACTTCCTATGTATATTATATGTTAACAGATACGTGATTCGGACCAGTTGTGGGGAACGTAAATAACTGAAAAATGCTTGCTGCATTGGCTCTCGTAGCGGTAAGGCAAAAGCAATGTATGATATCGGTATATTCGCTATGAAATCTCGCCTGCGCAGATATGTTTTAGAAAAATACCTGAAAAAGGTACATGTTTATTTGTTTGGAAGCATGTAGTTTGTAATGTACTTGACAATAGATAAATTAGTAGGGGGCACAAATGGACGGTAAACATTTGCAGTTGGTAGGTAAATAAAATTCGAGGTGTTTGGAGGATAGCGCAGTGAGCAATTCCTAGGCATAAGCTTATGGTCAAAAAATATTTATATTTAACATTCAGAAGCTCGTGTAAACGTAAATTATGGATATCCACTCACATTTTTCTAACTTTTTTTGGATTTAAAACGAAGTCACCGTATCTATTCATATATCCACTATGAATATCTAGAAATAGTTTGTACCAATATATGATATCGATTGTTATACAGATATGGAAATAGTATGGAACTGATTGGAACGACATCTGGTAGATTAGTAACATGAAGTCTACGTAGGATAGAAATAGTATAAATTGTTCTGAAAAAGAAACAAATAATATTTTTGTTCTCATTATATATTTATGCGAGTATTTTATGACTATATCAATTTTTACCCATAAACATGACGAGAAAACTGTCTGGCAAAACACTACCGCGAAACCACCTGAAAAACATTTAAATACATCTTAACACAATAAACAGATAGCGCTGAAACAAATTGTAGAAGTACCTTTTAAGTAAGCGTCAGGTACATGAAAATATATATATACGTTATAAGTATTACCTAAAGTTTAAAACAGATAAATTCTAGTATTCTGTGTTAAGAGTGACATAAAACCATCATGTGTGTACTAGAATAGAATAATTATTATATAGTGTATATAGTACTATATAGTGTAGAATAATAACTATAGCATAGAAAGCATAGAAGACACGTATTCGTCTTTTTATCCTTACGACCCGTGTTAATGCGTTAGATAGAGATGTATAATATCAATCATGTCTCAATATACGTAGGTTGTCCCAAGTTTTGATTTACTAATTTTACGTTGATGTTCCTCTTCGACATTTTATCGATAAAAATGAGTTGATGTAAATAAAATACAGTGATAAAATTTAGAAAATATTAATATATTAAAAAATATATATATGTTTATTTTTGATAAAACAAATATGAAATTATTATTAACATTTTCAAAATACAATTCCTAGAAAATATTGAATCTTGCAATCAAATATTAAAACAATAAAATTTGTTGCAAGGGTTGCCACGAGAACATTTAACAGGTAAATGATAATTAAAACAAATTAGATATAGTTGAATAATATGTATTGTCAAATATGTAAAAAAATATGTATCTATATAAAAAAAGATATATAAGTTTCGAATCAATTACAAATCAATTAAATTTTAGAGCAGAATCATGACTGCGTTTAGTCCATGTCAAATTTGGTGTGAAACGATGTAACCATTGTTTCAAGGTTTTAGTTTTCGGAAATATGTAGCAAAATAAGGTTTGTGTCATTATTGGAAGTGTAGTATTTTAATTCGTAACATAATTGTCATTATTTTGAAACGATTATTTTATCTTTAATTTATTATATACTAGCTGTTGTTTCGGGACTTTGCATGCGTAGTTAATACTAATAAATTATCAAACAATATGTAGTATCTACTGAGATTCCCTAGTGCCCATCATTATGGTAGTATAATATAATAAAATTGTTTTATCGATATGGGAATGCACATCACTTCTGGTATTTAATGCAAAAATCGCTATTAATATAATAACAATGTTTTAGGTAATTCAGTGACTTCATAAAGTCGAAAACAATCGTAACTCACCGATGCCATCGGTTATATCACAGACATCCTTTAACTTTCAGGTTTTACTATAACTAACACTGCTTTGAGTTTTCTTTGAATAATTCTATAATAATTGTACTTTTTTCTCTGCGACGCTACCAAATTGTCATTTATTTGTACAAGATTAAGAAAATATAACGACCTTTTAATCTAATAGTATAACAGTTGTTAATGCATCCATATATTCAACCAGTTTGACAATCAACTTATGACAACCTTAATAAATAAGTAACAAATGTGGATCCGTTGTCCCTTTCACTCTTTTAGGTATTCGGTTGTTATGAGACAGATAGCTGTTTTAAACTCTTTATGTTTATCATGGATTCTATGCTTTAGTAATTATTCTAAGGTATTTCGTCCACGGTATGACGTCATTTGTTACCCTAACTTAAAAAACTGGCAATTCTCTGGTAACACTATATTTTGTATACATATTTATTACTTTGAATTAGTTTCTGTACTTATATCTAATCGAATCCAATTTTGAAAAGGCACCATATATTCAAACCGAGTATTGGTGCCTTTGTCTTATTTTTTGTAGGAAAAAACGTCTTTATTATAGTTCTTAATGAATGTTCTTTCTAACCGTCATTAATCATTAGTAATACACTAATGTAACACCAAAAAATATTACAATTAATTTTGTAATTTCTATTGTTATATTTTCTCTTATTTCTGTTCTTTTAAATAAAATTAATATCCTATAACTATGAAAGCTCCCCGGGTGAAACACTGCACCGCTTGGTCGATAAATGCAACATGTAGGAATAACTATGCAGGCAATTTTAGAGACTAGTGAACAAATATTGAGGTTCATTGGAGAATATTATAGACTTAACTTTTGTATATGAATAATAAAATACGTAGGTATTATAGCATAATAATATTAACTGCATACCTGTGAGGTTGTAGAATTAATAAATATGCAGTTACGTAATCGATGTTACCCGAAGCGATAGACTTTGATCCGTGAGATTCAGCAATACTCTTTTCTGGACTCTGGATTTCAGAAAATGACAAATATTCAAATTCTAAATGTAAGCCTGGAACTATTGTGGGCTCTACCATAGTTTTTCAAAACAAGCTTTTATTTGTGCACACTAAAGGTAAATATTAATTATATGCAAGAGAAGCTCATAACATTAATGTTAAAGTACTTGTAATAATATTTTCTAGAACGGTAATGGACTT